AGGCAAAGAACGTTGAATGCCTGGAGCTATAAAAAGGATTTCTGATTAGCGATAGCATGCGTTTTTTCTTGGAGGACTTACTGAAAGAAAACTCCCAAGGGTGTTGATGTTTTCTCCTATGTTAACAAGAAGAGGGGGGATTCTGACCTAGAAGGACTGACAGCACATAAGATTTCTGAAAAATGACCACAGAGCGAGGTTTAGCTAAATTAAAATGCACCTAATTCATTTTTTACTTTCTAATGCATGGGGGCAGCGTGGGTTTGGTATCCTTTTTTTGTTGTTTTTGTTTTGGTAAAATATAGAAAAGCAGCTTTCTTTTACTCGTAAATTCTGCCCCATAATGTTGGTAATTGTTATAGCACAACTAAGATCAGAACGAGAGATCTCGTACAGCTATCTTTAGCTTTCATTCAGAATTGACATAGTACATTTAGTGCGTAGAATTTTAGGCTTACACCAAACATTAATCTTTTATTTTATATAGCATTAGCGCTTAATAACATGGCGGGGTGACTTTTGTAGGTCTCATGCTTGGATGGCTCTTTCCTTCCTCCATTCTCCTGCATAGAGGTGTTTTGCGTTTAATATCCAGTATTCACCGCAGTTCAGTGCCTACCAATAGAAGTAAAAGATAAAGCTTTATATATAAATCTTTAAGGTGGCTTTGCTCTTAATAGAGTATCAACATTAGGTAACCAGTTTTAGACCATTTTAAATGATCTTGTTCTCTTACTAACTTGAAGCTTGTCATATGCTGCTACTTGTATTGATGCTTATCAGCAAATGTTTTTTTTTATTTTTCTATTTTTACTAAATAGGCATCCTTACATATAAGGTTAAATGTGATTTCCTGGTTATGTTCCATAAATACATGAATATGAGTGGTGTTTTCCTAACTTTGCCCACAATTTAAGACCTCAGGATGGGATATTTAATGCAGCTAATAAATACAGGGTGAAGCAAAAGTAGGCTTACAGTTGTTCCTATGGACAAATAATACGAAAATCAAGAAATTATACAAGAATAAATTCTGTGTTTTATGTACTCAGCTGAAGAAAACCAATTTTTGACCAACTCAATATATTGAGGTTACCATCTGAAAGCCTACAGCTAACCGTATATTATTGTAAGTGGGGCATAAAACTTTGAAGACTGTTAGGATATAAACAGTGCTGAGGCGTATTCCTGAAAGTCCATGTTCAGTTTTGGAAAGTTTCGTAGTAATGTTGCATTAATTGACTTTTTACATGACACAGTAATAGGATACCTACATCTAAAAAAAAAAAAGAAGAAAATCTTGACAGAGGCTTAGTAAACAATGGCATGTGGTTTATAGAGACAAGATTAGGATGAAATTGTTTGAATCTTCTTACTTGAAGGATAAGAAGAAATGCAGGATGAGGTTATACATTAGAAGTGTCTTTGATCTTTGAAAAAGCGTAGCTACTTATAGTTTAAGTAGAAATGTCCCGTTTCTGTTTTTATTAAAAAATGAACTGTTACTTAGCATTAGCAGGGGTTTTATCGGTGCACTGTGTCTTTACCCTCCCAGCTCCTCTCTGAAGTTCTGGGGGCGGGGGAGGTGGGAAAGAGGGAATGGGCAGAAGGTTGCTAAACACCTAAAGACAAACTGGCTATTAATATGGGGACTGGGTTCATCTTTTCTGTTTGTTGAGAGAAAATTTAATAGCTCTTTTCTGACTTTGTTTCTTGTGTTCTTTTGCATTGTGGGAAGCTTTTCCTGAGCTTCATTTTGCAGGTAGTCACAGAGTTTGAGAGAAAAGTGTCAGCAGCATCTATGTCTGTGAGTGTCTGTTGGCTGGGATTTGATTTAGGAGGAACTTTTTTTGGGGGAGATTAGTTTCACCTTATTCAATTATTTATTCATTCTCTCCTTAGCTGATTGTGGTTTGCTAAGTATTTCAGTTTTCATTAACGTTTTTAAATGGAAGATTGTTTTTAATTTGGATCACAGCAGTAAAATCTTTTGATTTAGTTTTCAAATTGCATTTAAAACTCGGGCTTTGCTTTTTTATTTTTAATCCTCACCTGAGTACATGTTGTAGAGAGATGGGGGACATGTGAGAAACGTCCATTGGCTGGCTGCCTTCCTTCCATTTGTGCCCCCAGCCAGGGATCGAACCCTACCTAACGCAGGTATGTGCCCTGAGCGAGAATCCAACCAGCAGCCTTTCAGTGCACAGGACAACACTCAACCAACAGAGCTGCTCCAGCGGGGCAGAACTTGATCTTTGGAAAATAATTTTATTTGATGTGAGAGTGATTGGATAGAGATTGTAGAAAAACAAATGTGATACTCTTTTTAGTTACTCATTGTACAGTGATGGGCAGACTTCAGCTTTATTTACATAAAAGAAGTCATGATTTTATTACATTCCAGAACCTGTTTCTGTTTGTTAGAAGCAATCACTTGTACTGTCTCATAATCCACTAGAGCATACTTTTGAAATTGTGTCCTGCATTCAGATTTTAAGACTCCACTGACATTTTAGTATAGTGAAACCCTGTTCACGAAATGCTGTGTCCTGGCCAAAGACCACAAAAGAGGCCTTGGTTGTGTGGTTTCCTTCTCCTTTCCCCCTCACTAACAGAGGTTTTCCTATCTTGGCAGCTGTTTCCTACAAGGCAGTCATCAGTCCCTGATTTCTTCCTTCCCTTTCTTCCCACAAACAAGGACTCTTTCAAAGAGCGGATGACTGAAGACAGACTGATCTTGGACCGCTTTAAGAAAGTGGAAATGTGTTCAAGAGTTGTGCTTGTGGGCAAGCAGCCTGTATGTGTTAGTTCATTGACGTGAAAGTACCCACTACAACCAAAGCTTGGACAGTCAGAATTCTGTCAGGAGCATTCCAAAGGCTCACACTTAATTCTACTTGTAGTACTGAACATACCTCATTCACACATTAAACTTATTCTGCTTGCTTCATCAGCCTCATTGAACAGTCTATAGGGTATAGAAATTGTTTATTGATAGGGCTTTTCAGTGTGACAAGCCATGAAATTATCTGACTTCTCCTTATGCTTTCCATAAAAGAGCTTGCAGTTTTAAGGCAGGGACTTTGCCATAGCAGTTGTAAGCTGCAGGTTTTCTTTGGGGTTTGTGTTCAGACTCATCTTGGGGAGCTCAGAGTGAAAACTGGATAGAGGGAGCTAGGCAGTTCCGCAGGGTTGTGTGCCCGTGTCTTCATCCCATTGATTTCCAGTGTGTCTATTCTTTTTACATTTTTGGCTATCAGAAGGGGAAACTTGCTCTTTCCTTCGTTTTTGTTTTATTTCTTTGGACAGAGAAGCATCTCAGGTGTTCTCTCCTGTTGAAGAACCAGATCCTAAAGGGGTGGTCAAAATTAGATTTGACTCAGAACTATCTATCTATCTATCTATCTATCTATCTATCTATCTATCTATCTATCTATCTATCTATCTATCTATCTATCTATCTGTCTGTCTATGCCACTTCCCCACCAGTTCGTTCGTTCGCTCGTTATTAGAGGTGCAACCTTGGAGATGAAATCATTATCCTCTATAGATAGTTTTTATTGTTATTTGGTTGGTTTGTTAATACAAAAGAGGAGTGGAAGGGAAGGATGGAGTGAAAGAGAAAGAAAGAGAAACATAGATGTGAGAGAGACACATTGATTGATTCTCTTCCACACTACAACCCACATATGTACCCTTGCCTGGGAATTGAACTTGTAAGCCTTCAATGAGAAAGCTGATGCTCTATCTACTTAACACACCAGGCAGGGCTGGGCTAGAGATTTTATTTGAATTCATTGGATGGACCTATGTATTCAAGATGTAGGTTTGATGTTATTAAGTTATACCTTGCTGCAAGAAAAAGCAATATTTGAAAAATCTTAAACTTTCAAATGAAATAGTTGAGGCTTTATTAATCGGCTCGCTCTATGAATAACATCATCAGAGAAATAATAATTTGATATGTTGTGTTTGGAAATGAGATATTTTTGGAGCACCGTTATTATATAAAGTACAACCTTATGTTAAAAATTGTGCACTCTTCTACAGAAAAATAAACCGTTTCATTATATCTATATCTTGCAAGATAACCCAATAAAGTTGTAGATAATGATGCTGCTACCATTGCTAGAAACAAACCAAAGAAGTATATGTTTTTTAATAAAATCTTGTTAGAGGTGTTATGTATTAAAGCCAGTCCAGGTGACCCTTGAATAATGTGGGGGTTGGAGCACCAGCCCTGCACAGTTGAAAAAATTTGTGTATAACTTTTGACTCCCACAAAACTTAAAATTCTCCCTTAATTCTGTGGGGATTGGTTCCAGGATACCCCTTCACCCCTCACCTCACGTGGATACGAAAATCCATAGATGCTCAAGACCCCTATATAAAATCGCTCAGATCAATGCATAGAGTTGTATCTGTGGGCTCCCAACAGTGAATAAAAAAAAATCCTAAAAAGTAGTACTGGCATTTACTGATGATAAGTAGACTCTCACATTAAAACATTGTGTTGTTCAAGAGTCAACTGTAATTTAATAAAAAGACTAATATTTGACACAGTGACAGATGAATTGTTCTAGAATGACTTTAAAATAAGCTTTTCAAAGAAAAATTAATCATTAGGAATTTATATAACCATTATTTTGTGATTCATATGTTCTGGTTGTCTATAAATGCTTTTTGGGTTTTGATCATTTTTGAGATGTGAGGCTCTGCTATTCAGTGTGTAGGCAGGCGCAGCTGCCATATTGGGTACAGAATCAAAGTTTATACCTTTTTTTTTTTTTTAATAATTAAGAGGTGGAGGAAAGAAGGGAAGGATAGTTATTTTTATTTTCACCTTTTTTTGTAAAGCACTAGGACCATAGAGTAAATGATGGATTTGTTTGCTTTTCAGATATGAGGATCAATGATGCAAACTGCTGGGTTCAATGAAGCTGGACATTTTTAACTAGATTCATTAAGGAATACAAAGAAAATATTTAAAGGGATCAATAATGGTGTCTTCTGGTTGCAGAATGCGAAGTCTGTGGTTTATCATTATAATCATCTTCTTACCGAATATAGAAGGTAAGTGCAGTTTGAATTTTTTTTTTTTTTTTTTTTTTACAATTAGGAGACTGAAACAGTGCAAGCTTACTTATATAGAAGAGTACTTTTTTATTATTTTAGAAACAGATGTTAAAAATATTTTCTTAATGTTGCATTATTTTCATTACAGAGCTATATATTAAGAAAGTGTTAGAAGTCTGAATTTTTACTTTACATACATTTATAAATGTAATAATTTTAATTAATCCTGAGATCAGTAAATTGAAGAAAATATTTAGAATTTTAAAATTGGCTGATCACATTTATACCTATTAATAAAAAGACAGGTGGAGGAAAAGAGGCATACTGTTAACTAGTAGATAGCAGCAAGCTTATTATTACAATGTCTTTGTAATAAACTTCTGCAAAATGTTAATATTTTAATTTTGCCAAAAGAATTTTATTTTATTTTATTTGCTTGTTCCAAAATTGTTCTTTATCTTCTCCGAGCTCTCAAAGTTTCCTACTTTCAGTATGTTGATATAATTTAATAATGCAATTCAAGTAAGTAACACATGATTTAAGTCACACATGAAAGTCATAAATGGGATAGTATTTTATTTCTAGAAGATACTGCTCTTTGCATCGAAATTGAAAGATGCATCAAATCTAACATTAAAATGTAATATGTCTGAATAAATAATACTGTAATGGTAAGCAGTGAGCAGAAACTGAGTTTAATAATAAGAATCTCTGCCTTGGAAGGTTATAAAAATTTTTGTGTAATCTATAATTTTGCATCTGCTTCACACCCCCCCCCCCCCAAATCCCCGAGAAAAACTAACTGAATTCCTGCTGTTATGTTTGAATGATTTTATACATTTAAGAAAATTTCCAGGTGTGGACCAATGGCTCATTAGTCCACATAATGAAAAAAAAATTCCAATCAAGATAGAGACCACTTTGCTGGCACAGTAGCTTATCTCAGCAGGAGGCTAGCAAACAGAGACTTTTTCATGAGGTACTGCAGTTTTATTTCTAGTGTCACCTTTCAGGTCAAGATTCATATCTGCTGTTTAGAGAAATTTCATTTTTGGCACATCAGGCCACGGGGTGTTGCTTTTGAAGCATTTCCCTCCTACGGGTAAGAAGAACCTGGGAAGAATGCACACTGCTAGTTGTGAGAGTATACACAGTTATGTATACCGTTAGAGCAGTGATCCAGCTACGTGGTTTTGTCTTAGAAAAGTTTGCCAGGACATGCTAGTTCTTTATTGCCAGAAAGCAGATGATGCTCTGTGATCTCCTATAGAGAAAACCAATCGAAGTTAGGTGTGAGAGCACAGGAAAGAAGATACAAATTTAACCTTTCAACCATGCAATGTCTCCCTGTCCCTTACAGAATCGGTTACCTTTTCAAATCTTAACAGAGGTGAGCACTTCCGTATTAGTACTTACGAGTAGATCTTTACAGATAAACTCAAATCAGGTTTCCTCCCTCCTTGCTCATTTACTGACGACTAAATTAAGCCAGGTGCTCAATAAAAAATGGGCAAGGCACAGTTTATGCTCTTGAGCTCATTGTCTTGTGTGCCCGGGTGGAAATCTCAAATACCCATTGGGGCCAGGCAGACTTAGTAACTTGAGTGTGTTTGCAGGCCAGTGGGTCTGCCCAGGCAGGGAAGTCCTTGCTGGGGGACCCATAATTGCCTTTTATTTTAGCCTGGTTTTGCCAGTTTTCTGGCTTTGCAATACAAAGTAGACATTAGATTTTTAAACATAATAAATAGTAACTAATCAAGTTTTTAAGGACAATATAAAATGTCTTTGTATTGTATTCAGTCTTGAGCCATGCCTGCCTTTTCAGAGCTGTCTCTTTTCTGTTTATCATAGTGCTTTCCCCTTAGCATATGATTTTTAAGGCTTAAACACAATTTTGGGTTAGTTTTAGATTTATACAGTTGAGATGTACATTTCCACATTTGCTAGAAGGACTTCTTCTGTCAGATGAACATTATAAATCTCATGTTTTGTGTGCATATAAGAGCAAATCACTAAGCATTTTTATAACTTTTACTGTGGTAAAAGCTGATTACATATACAAAGGTTTAATTGTTAGAATTAGGTTGTCTCCCTCTCTCTCTTTCAATTAGTATCTCAGAATCAATTAAAGCCTGACCCATTAAAATTTACTTATTTTTGAAAAATAGAAACTGTTTTTTTAAAGTCTCTATTCCCTGTGTATTTTTTAAAATGCTGTTTAGAATTTCCAAATAAAAACTAGTTATGAAAGACCAGACTTCAAAATATTTTGTAAGTTTTTCTTGGAATTGATTTTATTCCTAGAGAACTAACCTCAAGCCCTTCAAAAATTAGTTTTCTGGAGAAACTGGTGTGTTTTGATTCTTTTGGGTGATTTCTATAAGCATAGTAACCCACTGTGGAATCATGTATCAGTAAGTAGGAAAGTAAATTGAATTTTTGTGTCCTAGAGAATTAAATTATGGTATATAATGGAGCCCTGGAAAGTATAAGTCAGACATATGAAGGCTTGCTCAAGTGACAAGTTAGGAATAATAGCAGTTCTTCAGCAAAGTCAGTAATACGGATTTCAGGTTGAATTTTTATGCAGTGTGTATGTAATTAGATTTTAGTCAAAATTTTAGTTAATTAACTCAAATTGCATTTCTGCTTGTCCTCATTTCAAAGAAAAATATTATTCTAGGTATAAAAGCCAGATATTCTAGGTACAGTTGTACATATTTATTTTATATACATCAAGACAATCTTAGATCATAGCCATAGAAATAGTATCATACCCGTTTTTAATGTAGTTTTAAATTCTTTAAGCACATTTTACAATGACTTTTATGTAGATTGTATCTTCCTAAAAAAGGATGTTTGATTGAGGGGGTCTTTCCATTAGTTCTGTGGCAGGAAAAAAGTAGATTTAGGTGTTATGTATGAATTCGAAAACCTTTTTGGCATATAGATACTTCCTTCTGAGTGGTCTATAATTTAGTGGAAGGAATTGTTCTCCAAGGTTAAATTTAATAAGGATCATTTATTCTTTTTTCTTTCATTTTTTTTATTAACACATGCCTAATGAATGTATAAAATTTATATTTTGTAAATTGTATAAATACTGTGTATGCACACACAGGCATACATAGTTTGTCAGCTTCATGGGCTTTTTTAATTTTATTTTTTCTTGTTCACTGTTGTGTTCAAGTTTCTAGAATAATGCCTGACTTATAGTAAGCGCTCATTCTATATTCATCATGTAAATAGCATAAATCTTTAAAGAGGATAATTGTCTTAATCATTCGAGAGGGGACAATAAATAGTTGTTATAACAAGGTGAAAAGTGCCATGAGGATGATACTCACAGAGGTAGAGGTGAAGGGTAGCTGAGTTGGGTGGGGTGTATGTCAGGAAGTAATGATGTGATGATGCTTGAGCTGAATCTCAAAGTTGTTGACTAAGCTAAGTAGAGACGGTGAGCATGGTAGCGGAGAAACAAAAATAATTGGAGAGAAAACAGCGTAGATATGAAATAAATCGTTACACTATTTTTCAAACTTTAGGAACAGCAGAATCATCTGTAAGGTGTGGGGTAGAGCCCAAGCATTTACATTTCTGACTAACGTCTGAGATGACACTGGGGTTGCTCAGCATCACACTTATGAAGCACTATAGTATTAAATAAGTGTGGGTGGAGGAGGTGAGGTGTTAGGGGTGCAGAGGTGTGGATATAAAGTAACGTTTTAAAAAGAGTTTTAGAAGAAAAAAATTACGGTTTAATTCATTGTGATTCATAAGTCGCAACCAGTTATTTACTGGGAGTTACTATCTATACCTTTTCATATAGCTCTTTATTCCTCTGTTGAAGTTCCTTGGGTATAATTTTAGGCTTCAAAAAAGAATTATTTTGTCACTCTGTTTTGACAGTGTACTAAGAAAGAAAGAAAAAAAATAACATAGAAAAACTGTCTCCAGATTGGAAAAAGCAGAACATATTTTTCTGTTAAGGGTAAATGTGACATTGTCAGAACTCCTAAACCCTTACTTCAGTTTGTCTCTTTTCATTGTGATAACCTTGTTCTTTTTCTTGTTGGAAATAACTACATGGCTATTGCTATGATAATGCTGAATTAACTTACTGTAGGGACTTTAGATTTCCCAGTCTAGCAAAATTGACTATTTTTGTTCATTTCAGTATATTTGATTAGTTGAAAGCTAGGAGGTAAATTTTCAGCAAGGTGCATGGGGATTTGGCAGTATGACTCCTATTAAACTTAATGGGAGTCACAACTCCCATTAAATTAATAGAAATTGTACAGCATATCCATGTTCGCTGCATAGCAAATGTAACCTTATATTTTAAATTCACAAATTATGTAAATTAACTTTGGGCTAAGCAATGTATTTTAAAAAAATGATTTTTGTTATATTTTTAGTGCAGATCAGTGTGATTTTACCCCTTAAGAGAGTAACTAACTGTATTGCTCTTAGGCCACTTTAAGTATTCCTTATTGTATGAAATGAGTGTAATGTAATTTGATTGCAGCAGCTTTCTTCTGCATAGGTTATGATCTAATTCAGTTTTAAAAATAAATATTAATGCCATTTACAAATTATATGATGTTGTTTATATTGTAAACACCAAGATGCCTTGTAGTATTAATACCAGGATTCAAAAGCAAGACATATTTGTTCTGAACGTGGCTCAGAAAAAAGTTGGAGAAAAAAAAGACTAAAGAGGATATACTGGTGTTCTTTTTTAAAGTTAATTTGGAATATACTTTGGACGTCTTATTTGACATTTAGTGTCAAAATATGCCATATTTTATATGAAGATTAAGTTCCAATGCCTAATTATTGTTTTTTCTTTACATTTTTCCTCCCACTTTTTATTCTAGTTCATCTTCTTGCTTCTTTTCCAGTGTTAGGGAAGGTTTGTTTATCCACAGTCCGCTGTTGATTCACCTGTAGGCCTGTGACTGGTGGTAAAGTGTTATAAATCAGTGTGCCACACA